AACTATACATATCGATATTTCTCAACATCAAACAAAATTCCCTATTTAAGAAATGTTTGTAAACAACGACGACAATGAATATACCATTATTAGAATGTAATTGTATATTGATATATAATTTTCTAATACATGTAACATGTGATTTTAAAAAAATTTTTATATGAACCATTGTCCGACAAAGAGAGTATACAAATAGTATGATTTTTGTTTGACAATAAAAATTTCCCTTTTCTTTATTGTTATTGTTTAATATACATTATCAATTATTACTTTTGGTAATAAAAATTTCCTTTATCATTGGTAGGTAATTTTGGTAAAAGTAAAAGGTATTCAATAAAAATTATATTTCATGTAACACCATTCCATTAATCAAAATATTTTTAAGACATTATGAAAGTAAACTAATCATAAATACATGTATTTTCATCTCATTTTGTATAGCGATAGGTATGCCAAGAAAAAAACGTTAACACAATGAATGTTTATGGTAGGGATATACATCCAACTTGTTATATACATGTACTTTGAATGTAAAATACATGCATCTTGTTTAATAGATCACACGAAAAGCAATATAAATACACGTATAACTTTAAAGATTTGGCCAATTAATTAAAGATTTTGCATACATCAATATTTTAAAACTAAAATGAATTTAAAATGCATAGGTATTTTTGTGATTACATGTTTGGCTATTTTAAATTCTAAGCTTTCCGATGCTGCATCCGCTCAATGGGTCGGATATGATGTTTGGCCTTATGGTGATTTTGGGTTCTCTGACTGTAATTTTCAAATCAGCTTCGGAACACCTGGAAGCGGAATTTCTTTAAGTTGTTATGGAATAGACGGAACTAGTGATAATGGCGGCAATGGCGGAAGTTCAAATGGTGCTAATGGTGCTAATGGCAGCGATGGTGTGGGTTCAAATGGTGCTAATGGTGCTAATGGCAGCGATGGTGTGGGTTCAAATGGTGCTAATGGTGCTAATGGCGGCGATGGTGTAGGTTCAAATGGTGCTAATGGTGCTAATGGCAGCGATGGTGTAGGTTCAAATGGTGGAAAAGGTGGCAATGGTGGAACTGGCATCAATGGTATTGGTGGAAATGGCGGAAATGGTGGAAACGGCGGCGTTAATACAAATGGCGTAAATGGCACCGGTTTTAATTTTATAGATTTCAATCCAGGTTTTACGCATTTTTAATATGCTTTTCGTGTTTATGAATTGAACAAAGCCTATTCAGCCCTTTAAGCCGAAGACGTTAATGCAGTTATTTTCCTTTCGCATTGATGGGCGTTCTTTGTTAATTATCTATCACAGCTATTATAATTTGCATTTTACAATAATAAATATCCAACTAAGGAGATACTATCGTTTGCCTTCGAGCTGTAGTTTGATATTTAATTTATGTTGTTTATACATAACGATAATCAATAATCATTTTTAGCTTAAGTTTAATCCTTTTCCAATTGGATTTATTTTCTAGTAAAATTCATAATGGAAATCGTTTTCCATAAATTTTTATAAATACAGACACGTGAACTTGGTAAACACGCGTGGCGTTATTCAGACTATACATGCACAATGCAATATGCGCATTAAATTTATTTCCTTCGAAAGTTCTCGAATAAATCTCCCAACTTATGCTTGTAAAATATGTACACTCCCTGGTCAAAAGTATCCGACCACTTAAAACCAGAAAAAAATACACAAACTTCAACAATTAATTTCTTAACAATTTATAAACAAACATTGTAAAAAATTTATATCAATTTATTCAGAAAAACATGAATTTTATTAATAGCTAGTTGGATTTCCATGGCTATCTAATACAGCTTGAACCCTTCTTGGCAAACTTTCAACTAAATTTGCTAAAACTTCAGGCTCAATTTTATTCCACTCCTTCTTCAAAATTACCATTAATTCACAATATTTTTTAAATGAGGTTTATGTTTCCAAACTCTTCTTTTCAAAATATCTCACAGATGTTCAATTGGATTAAGATCTGGACTCTGTGCAGATCATGAAAGATTTAATATCAAATTATTCTTCTTTCATTGATTAATCATTCTTATCCTATATACTGGAACATTATTATCTTGAAAAATATATTATGAATTATTTTCTAAACTATTATAAAAGAGTAAAAAAGTATTTTCTAATATTCTTATATATATAGAATCTATTATATTATCTGAAACTTGAATTAAAGAATCAATTTTATCTTTTATAAAATATTTTTATATTATAATTTCTTGATTTTCAGATCTTACAGTTGAAATTAAGTAACTTATATTATATTTTTCATGTAATCTATGTCAAATTCAGTAATATATCTTATTTTAAAATAATATAAAATGAAATTTATCACTTTAAATAATAAAATTTCATCTATTATTTCAATATCTTCTTTTATAATATTATTTCAATCTTTTTTTATAATTTTTTTCAAAATAAATAAT